GTTCATCCGTCCGTCCATCCGTCCTTCCGTCCGACCCATAACTTTTTAACCATGCACCCTAGCTTCACCAAACTTGCTACACACATTTACCACAAAGAGTACTTGTGCCTTTTGCTAGTTTGAAGATTCTGAACTTTTTAAATTTTGCTGTTTCCGTGGAAACATTAAGAAACTTAAACTTTTAGGGTGGGTGTTTTGTACGGCCTTCATCTTTTTAACTATGCAGCCTAGCTTCACCAAACTTGCTACACACATTAACCACAATGAGTACTTGTGCCTTTTGCTAGTTTGAAGATTCTGAACTTTTTAAATTTTGCTGTTTCCGTGGAAACATTAAGAAACTTAAACTTTTAGGGTGGGTGTTTAGTACGGCCCATATTATTTTAACCATGCACCCTAGCTTCATGTCAGCAAATGTCACTGGAACTCAATCTTAGTTTTTAAAACATTGAAGTTAAAATCAGTTAGAAATACATGTATGTAATATTTCATTAATTAACAAACTATTTACTATTTGTTGTTGACCAGCAGGGATAACGGGGGTATGTGAGCTTTGCTCACTTCTTTCTTGTTTCTCTACAGCTTCTAATTGTGCCATAGCCATAGATAATTTCATTTCAGTTTGACACCTTTCAAGCTCAGCTCTCTTTTGATTTTGAACTTCAAGAAATTTCAACTTAGTCTTTAATGCTGCAGCAGCAATTTTGGTCTCATACAGTTTTGACACATTCGACATTTTTGATGACTTAGTCTTTACAGATTTACATGATTTGCTTTCAGAGAATTTCTGTTCACTCAAACCAAATTCAAGTTCATAGACTTTATCACTCACGGATTTAATTAAATCAAAATGTTTTGATTCAATCTCGTCAAATTTTGCAAGCAAATGTTCATCAGAATAATTGAATTCAGTTAGTTTCCCATGTTCACTACACACAATTGCCATACGGTCTCCTAAACAATCACGAATTGAACGCAGTTCAGATATGTCCACACTGTCAGATACTAACTTCATGACACTACTCGCCTGCCGACGCCATGCAGATAGTGCAGATTTGAAACGTTTCACACATAGTTCAATCTTATAATCAGTGTATTCTTGTGTAGGTTTAGCCACACAGCTGCTTAAATCATCATTACAATTGTTAATATTGTCAATATTAAAATCCATGCTGACACTATTGAAATTCAATTTACTCCCGGTAAAAGTTCTTTCCACTCAAAAGATGTTTTACTATAATATTTTCTAAAACTCTGAGTGGAGAAACTGAGTATTCATGATGTTTTTTATACAGAATTTCTATTATAGAGAAACTCAGTTATCCAATCCCCTGAAATCCGTAAAACATCTTGACGGAATGCGGATAAACAAAGGACTTTCTCACCGGAAAGCATGGTACTCGCTCCATACCCCAAGGGAGCTAAAAAATACTCACCACTAATGAGAAGAAACAATAAAGCGCTATTAAAATATCTCATTACCATATCTGACTGACTACCGTTACACAGGGTGACACATAAAACAATGATGCTATGTACATCGACACAGGGTAGGGACTGAACATTTGATATGTCCTTCGGGGGAGGGATCTGGGAATATAACAAAAATAAATAAATTGTCCCTGAAAACTCTTGAAAAAGTAATTATTCTTCAGATTTTTGGAGAGAGAAAAGAAATTGACATCTGCAAAAATTACATAGTTATTCTTGAACAAAATTCTGGCTCATAGTTTAAGATAAAAAGATGTCTGGTTTTGCAGCTGAAATTTAAAAATATCTAATCTCAATACAAACTCCCAGGCCCCCAAAGTAGAGGAAATGGTCGGTCCCTGAGTAGATGTCTACTGGAGAGTGAATCTATCTGATTTCCTTTATGATACATAGTTCTGTATTACCATTAAGACTGTAAAACAGTGATGAACAACGTCTTGAATGAGTGAATAATTGAATGTGGTTTTATATTGATATTTGCACTGTTCCAGCTGTATCATGGCAGCCAGGCTGGCCAGGCATCAAAGATGACCCAGTGTTGAGGCATGATGACAGTATGGACACAATCAACCAGTTCACACATAGTAACTCCCACCTTGTAACTGTTTTGTTTTGTGCCTGGAATTTTTGCGAGTGCCTAACTAAAGCCTTTACTGTGTCTGGGAGGTTTCGTGACACCCTGTTGACGGGATTACCGAAGATCAAAGCTATGCTTTTGCACATGCTACTTGATTAGGAAGTAGTTCGAGGGAAAGTTAACTCAGTGTCAGTCAGTGCTTTTTTAACTATAGATGAGTGGCGTGTTTATCTGACAGTAGTATTATACAGCTGGTGTATGTCTGGACTACTCCGTGTTATGTAAACAACTTGACCAGACGTGACAGTTTAGTGAACTTTCCTGATCAGACTATTTACACTGAGTGACAATCTAATTAAGGAAACAGGATGCAAGGGAATATGTATTTAATCATGCACTGGCTGGTTGACTTTGTGGAAGTGACTAAAAAATATGTGCCTCCTTCCAATTTTTTATTTCTTGTATGACTGCAAAAACAACTGTCATGAAACTCTTGTGACTGTGTGTAGCTCCCAGTTTTCACAGTACTTTCGGGATGACCAAACTTTCCAGTTTGACAGAACTGCCTCAGTTCAACAGAGAAGGTCAGGACGGGTGGTAAGGATTGGCCTAGGCTATAACTTCCCCGTTGAAGCACTGGCCTAGGCTATTACTTCCCCGTTGAAGCACTGGCCTAGGCTATTACTTCCCCGCTGAAGCACTGGCCTAGGCTATTACTTCCCCGCTGAAGGACTGGCCTAGGCTATTACTTCCCCGCTGAAGGACTGGCCTAGGCTATTACTTCCCCGCTGAAGCACTGGCCTAGGCTATTACTTCATCGCTGAAGGACTGGCCAGGGGCGTGTTTCAGCCTGTTCCACTGAAGACCTGCTTCAGGACGCCCACAGGGCTACTTTTCTCTGGAATCACAGTCTTTATGGAGAGCAAATGCAACATTTTCTTTTAAAAGGGTTACATTTTGTTTCCATTTACAAAGATAATTCTTGGATGGCCTGTGATCGATTGCCACATGCAAATATACCTTGAGTATATTTTCTAGATGGGTCCACTAAATGTATGATTAAATCAACTTTGTGTTTATCATATGAAGTTTAGTGATCAGTTGGATTTTGGTTATGATAGTCATCCATCGCCGAGACCCCAAACATCCTGCAGTAATCTTGATACTGTAGAAACAGGAACTCAAGGTAAACTCTTGATGAACACTATGTGTATAATGCAGTTGACAATACCTGCACCTCAAGTATTCATTTCCATGATTATAGAGGAAAAGGTAGGAATCACACAAAACAGGATCAGCATCTCGTATCTTAACAATCTGTTTCTTCTTAATTCAGATTCTTCATACAACTGATCAATTGCTTTGAAATTTGGAAAATGATGAAATTTGTATACACGATGAATATATTGAAAAGTGGGAGGTTCTGAGTTGTGGTATTACTATAGTGGTATTACTATAGTACTGTGGCAATATCTAGGCACTGAGATACCACAGATGTCAGATATTAGCCATAATACTTTCCATTACAATGAAAAATGAAATACAAATTTCATCTGCACTAAACATTGCTAAACATTTGTGAATAATCCCATATAGATGCTCTAAATATTTTTTAAACTGACGTTGCCTTACAGTTCACTAATTACATTTGAAATTATTCATAATAATTACATCTTGGGGATATCATGTTAACTCACCTGTAAGTCAAGTGAACTTATGTCATAGCCTGATTGTCTGTGAAGTCCAGCCTAATCAGCTGCATGTTCCTTCTCATGATGATGTCACACTTTGTTCAAATCATTATCATTTTTTAAAACTTTTTTGTCATAAATATTTGTAAAATCAAATTTTGCAAAATGGTAAAAAAATGCATTTGCATGCACAAGGCTGAAACTTTATGTGAATGATAGTGGCTGTGAGTACATTCACAGGAGTTGATTTAACTGCTGGCCTGTTAGCCCGTGGCCAGTTAAAATTTCAAAGAGCTTGCTAAAACGTAAAGTAGATGGCCCATCTGGCTAGTAAAAATGTCACCCCGTCTCTGTGCATGTTAATTTGTTTTTAATTAGACACTTGTCGGGAATTGTTCAAGTTCGATGGGGAAATATTAAGGGGTGATGAGGTCAAGTGAACGGTTAACTCGATGAAAGATATATCTCGAATATCTCAGAAGAATTACTAGCGGCCACCATTTTGTAATGTTTGTATGTATAACAACATCTTTATTTGCTCATAAATCACCAGGCAATGAGGCAAATGCAAGCCAAGATATAATCTCAGAGTGCAGGAAAAGGCGTTTCAGGGGTGAGGAGTTCCTGTCTCGATTTCTGCCATTTTCCCAAGGCAAGGGAGTTTAGTGACTTTAAAAGTCCAGTTACCACCCTTGCCGAACTAGGCTGGAATTTCTGGGTCATGTTTTGGCTGGACTAACATAGTCCAATCAAAATTGCATGACGAAATCGACATCAGTTCGTAAACTGCTGTATATATTTAGGTCAATTGCAGGATTTGCAAAGCATTTGTACCGTCAACTTGGCATCTACATATATTTTCAACATCTTTTATTGTTTTAAGTGAAGGTGCTCAAATACTTTGATGCATGTTGCAAGGAAAGACCTGCTTTCCGGCTCCATCAATTAGTTGTTAAAAGTTGTTTTAAAAGGAGCAAGCCCTGCTGGCTTCATAAAAGTTTGTTGTTAAATCTACCCCTGATTCAATTTTGTTCAAGACACGATCAACATTCAACTTTGGCGTCCCAGAAGATGTTTATGTTCCTCAGAATGTACTGCACGTAGTGTTCTAAAAGTCAGCATAGATATTCGTCACAAGGTTTGAAGTGATGTAAAATCATCCAAATTACCTTAACACTTGTTACACACAGCCCTTCAGAAATACATTTTGGTCTTGATCTTGATTGGTAATCATGATAATGTTGAAAACTATTTTTTTATTCCAACAACATAATACTCTTGAATACATTACGATGGACAGCCAAGCCTTAACACTTGTTACACACAGCCTTTCAGAAATACATTTTGGTCAACAATTATGGCAGTTACAGTTGAACAGACAAGATGCACAAGCTGTTGTTTCACCATCAGATAACAAATGAAACATCTTCATCAAAGTATTACAACAGATTCTTATCCATCACAAGAATTTTCTTTGTGCCTTTGAAGCTCTCCAGTGATTCAGCAACAGCTCTGTCATATAGCTCTAGTGGAATGTTACCACTGACAGGATTCTTGAAATGTTTGTCTCGTATCAGCTGACAGATACTCTGGTACATTTCATCACGCACCTGACTGTCTCTATTTCTTTTGTTCCATTCAGTGTTCCAGTAACCTTCTAGTTTGATTTCTTTAAACAAAAGAGCACCTGTTGGTACCACAATCGGTTTACGGGACATCCCCCCATATGTTATCATCTTTGCACCTTGACCAAGATGTCGAAGAATCTCTGTTGAACTTGATCCCCCTACACAATTTAACCCTAGCTTTGGTTGTGAGGGCAGTGACTTCATGAAATCTTTCATTTCTGGTGAACGGCAAAACGTTTCAGAGACAACATGGTCTGCTCCAAGATCTCTAAGGTAGTGGATGAGTTGGTCAATGTCTGGCCGATCTCTGACCATGTTTATGGTTGTGATGTTCCAGTGTTTAGCAAGTTGAATTACACATTGTCCAACGGCGCTATTTGCACCATTCTGGATAACAATATCACCTGGGTTCAGATCTACATAATCTTTCAACATACGATATGCAGTGGGAGGGTTTACTAAGAGGGTTGCAGCACTGACAACGGGGATATCATTTGCAACTTTGAAAACTGTTGATCTTGGTGCAACTGCATAACTTCTCCATGTGCCCCATCCCGAATCTGCTGGGATAACCCAATCACCAATGTCAAGGTCAGAAACACTACTTCCTTTACCAATGATCTCTCCAACACCTTCATTTCCGACAACTGCTGGTAATGGGGGACGAATAAAATAAGTTCCTTCTATCATGTTGATGTCGGATGGGTTCACAGGAGCCATTAACATCTTTATCAAAACTTCATGTTTCTGTACTGACGTTTGGAGTTGAACTTCTGTTTTTTCTAGCACTTGTCTCGGATCTCCAAATTTATTGTATGTTATCTGATGAGAAGTTAAAGATGATGCACATCGCTGGAGACGACTGGCATTTGCAATTTGTAATTGTTGACCAGACAATTGCCTAAATAATGTGGTCAACAGAGGTTTCCACGACCTTAAAACGGAGGCCATATTTGTTGCTATATTGTAATCCACATCAATTGTAACATATCAACTATACTAAGTATGAATATATATATATAAAACTTATGTTCGTATCTGAATAAACCATATATATTTATATCAGTATTAACTTAATTCAAATCGAATTATACATAGGTTTCTATTGTCGACATTTTTCGTATTTTTCATAATTGAAGATTCACAGTTGATTCTAATATTTAATGTTGAAAACAAGTAGTATCTCCACGTGCGAGGCTAGCGACCGGAAATTCCATTAGCGCATGCTCAGTTCGCATAGCAACATACTAAACAAAATGGCGAGAGACTCATGAACTCCGCCGAGCTGTACGTTACGTCTTCGCTTTGACCATCTGTGGAAAAAATATAATGTCAAAAGCCGGGAAAAGAGTTAAAAGCGGAACCGGACAACAGGGGGGTGCAAAATGGGAGCAGGCACTTCTTACTGCAGCACTTGATGAGGTAATGTTTGTTGTTATTTTCGAAGTCTTCTGGGACGTCATCTTGTCTACATATGTTGAATTTGTTGTACTTTATAAATTTGACATCAACAGACATAATGCTACTCTTGGAGTTTTAATCAGATTCAACCCCGTTTAGTTGTTCCCAACCTTGGACACATTTTGACAGCAAATAACTGTAGTATGATTGTGAAATTATAGAACTGATATTGTAGTTATCTCAGTTGCGCTGTATAAGGGCACCTGCAGCTATATTGAGGAACATCCTTTGTTGTAAGATTAGATTGTCAAAATTTCTCTATATATGTAACATCTATGTTATGTTTAGACCATTCAACAGAAAAAAAGATGATAATATTCTTTTTTTTTCAGGAAAAATGGAAATCAAACATATCCTTTGTAGTTGGCAACACATCGGAAGATTATGTTTACATCAACGTTCTTGCAGCCGCAATTGCTGGAGGCACGAGGAAACTTTTCAGTGTTATTGGCAAAGAGAGCCTATACAATGAAGTGAGAAAATGAAACAATTTCTTTTTCATTTTTGACACAATGTAGATTGGCCTACAGGTATGAGAATGTGAAAACATTCTCAGTTATCCTATTTTTATTACCACAAATGTTATATTTGGGAGAACACTTTCTTAGTAAAGTACAGATTCTAGTACTTTTGGGGATTGAGTCCCACTGGGATTCGAACCCACACTGCCAGAGTCAGCACCTAATCACCAGCACACACAGTTAGTGTTTTACCCACTCAGTCACCGAGGCTCCCACAAAAATCTGACAACTGGTAGTCTAGATCACATATTTTGTGTACCCCTCTCCCCAGTGTAAACTGGCATGGCTCCCATGCCTGAAAGTTATGAATACACAATGCCATTTAGAAAGGGGTCAAATGTAACAAATGTTATATTTGTGATAACACTTTCTTTGTAAAGTATAGATACTAGTACTTTGTGGGGGTTGAGTCCCAGTCAGGTTTCAAGTCTGAAAATGGGTAGTCTAGATGGCAGTTGCTTCAATACCTCGCCACGGTTTCTAAATTAATGGCACTCTAAATGTTGCTTTTTGTCTTACAAGTAAAAAGAGAAGGAGGGAGTGAATGAAGGTCACTAGACCTGCATATTATAGGAAATGATATAAAAAACTTTTAAGAAATTATTATGAAAATCAGAAGATGTGCTCATATACAGGAGAATTAGACTTTGGTCTTTTCAACACTGGAATATTTTAAGGAAGAATTTTCTAATATTTGAAAATGACCAATGAAATAGGAAACAAAGTACAAAGTTAACAGATAGTAAAAAGTTGATTTGGAAGAACAGACTTGTTCATAGTTAGGTTTTCCCCAGAAGTTAAGTGTCCAAAACTTGTAACTGATAGAAAGAATAAACACAAGGTGATCAGCCATATGAACCTGATATCTTTCATACAATATTTCAAAGGTTTCAGTAAGCAAAATATTCCACTTTAAGGGGGACAAATAGGGAATTCAAATTACAAAAAAAATAAATATTAGGCTGATTTATCTGATATCAATGATTTGATAGTGCCATCAACGAAATGTTTCGTATTTTATACATATATTTGTTTGCTTTTTCAATTTTAGTGGAAGTTGTCTAAATAGATAATTTAAAGGTGCAGTATTTATGGTTATGCCATTCCCATTTTATGTGTTGAAAATGACTGAAACAATATATTAGTTTATCAATCACATCCCTGTTGTGTTTCTCTGTTAAATCAACCATCAACTGGAAATTAATGTTAACCTAATGGTAGAAATAAATTATATAACTTGCTCATTCATCTTTCTAATTAATGCTGTTGAAATGCATTTTGATTTCATTGTTACTTTCAAAGAGCATTTGAGATGTGGCAAAGATATTTCTCATACTTTAATTTGTGATTGACCTTTTCAAACTACACACATTTCATTGACCAAGTTTACACATGTATTCATTCTCCCTAATAACCAATCACTGTCATTTTCCAAGGTCCGTGACCTCGGTAACCCAAAGTCCAAAAAGGGAAAGGAGGTACCAGCTTACTATGAAGTGTGTGAGCCATGCAAACTCTACCTGGACAATGGAGAAGACATTCCTCTTACTCTTTTAGCCAGGCTTATCAAGTTCAAACTGTTGGCCATCAAAACAACTGACCTGAAGAGAAGAGAAGCAGAGAAGAAGGTATAAGCCAAGCAGCTTATCTCCTTATGTTGTAGTGTACGCCATAGATGCTGCAGTCATTCTGTCTATACTCTTCAGATATATAGTGCATGTAGTGTTTCTTATGATTTATGTTGATTAATTTATTTCACATATCTAAGATTTTAACAATATATTTTACCTCAACTGAATAACTTTATACTTCACTGATAATTTCATGTACATTATTTATTAAGAGGTGAGCTATATAATGTTTCACTTTGTCCAAACGTATCAATAGTAGAACAATAATTATGACGATTTACTGTCTCATTATCATTATTATTTTCTATATTTGTCAATTTACATATGCACATTTAACTCATATTTTTTTGTCAGCCTTTTCTGCACGGGCCTTCATGTATTTTCATTAGAATTAGATTTAGCCACAACTAATAGTTCTGGTAGCTCATATAGTGCTAGGCAGTCTGTCTTTCTAGATTTAGAGCTTGATATTAACTGCACCACTTTTGTCACTTTGCTCTTCAGCTGCTGAAAAGTTTAATTGCTGAGAAGGTATGCGTATGTCACCTGAGAGACAAAACAGTATTTGCTCTTTGACATTGATCTGCAATTGACATGCTTGTTGGCAAGCATTAATGAACATATTGATAGATAACTGGAAGATAGTTATATAAAGATTATGTCATGAAGCCAGTCCAGTTTTCAAATTTATATTTACATCGTTGTTTTTTATAGCTATTGAACTTAGCCCAAATTATAGGAGCGTAAAACTACCTGTTGCCAGTGTGATTTAAAGTTAATTGACCAATAAAACTCTTGAAGTAAAATATTGAACAAAATTCACAACAAAAAAGACTGGCCTAATGTCAAGATAAGATCTTCATGTTGTATGAAACTAATGAATCTGAAATAAAACAGTATTTGTCTGATTACCATGATTACTGCTATTGTGACACCTTGATAACAGATTGAAAGTGGTTGCTGTATAATATAGCTACTTCTGTTCCTACCTACTTAATCTGATCCCATTCTGACATTTTCTCAATGATAATCAACTCGGTTTAACCATTTGCAGTGAATGTTTATTGTGTATATTATTTTATTTTATTTCACCCAACCAATATAGAAATGAAATGTCTACACAACCGGTATATTACTTTGTCAAGTTTAGGAGAAGTTTATATCAAGTTTGCACTATACAGTCGACCCTCGTTATCTGGACCCTGTGGAGACTCCGGCTTGGAATATGTCCTCAGTAATCTAAGCTTGTCACAAAAGGCGACTAACTGGATTCGGTGGTCAGGCTCAGTGACTTGGTTCTTTGCATGTTATCATGCTCTGATGGTGTGGAACATTGCTCTTCATATTAATCTACGGATTGTCTGGTCCAGACTTGATTGTTTGCAGGCCACTGTCATATAGCTGGAATATTTCTGACTACAGTGATTAACAATTTATCTGGTCCTGGGTGGTCTCAAAATATGGATAATCTCATGGTTAAGCTGAACTGAATGTTTTTGCTTATTCCTACACTCAACATGCTCAAGTCTCTTGTTATTCAAATTCTTCCTGTAACATTGAGACTGGATTCCACCATGTTATATATTAACAGATGTCTTGAATTTACTGACATTTAACTACAAAACCTCAAAGGCAACAGACATATCATTACTCATTACAATGTGGGTCACGGGTGTAAGCTACTGTTTCGAACCCAGGAAGATTCGGGTTGGTATAGGTCTTCAGCAACCCATGATGGCCACAAAAGGCGGCTATGCTTGTTGTAATAGGCGACTAACAGGATTGGTTGGTCAGGCTCACTGACTTGGTTGATGCATGTCATCGTATCCCAATTGTGTGGATCAATGCTCATGATGTCAATCACTGGATTGTATGGTCCAGACTAGATTATATACAGACTGCTGTCATACAGCTGAAATATTGCTGAGTGCGGCATTAAACAACCAACACCTGTTTCGTCAAGAGACTTGTAATGGCGTTTTATCAAAAGTGTAGATGTAAGAACTTGGTTGCTGATAAACTCCTCGTTGAGCTGGTTTGTAGACATATTTACATCTCTTACATAAAGCTTACCTTGCATGAATGTCAAAGGCATTCTGTGCCAAAACTGTTTGAGACAACATGCCTGTAACTATGTTCTGTTACAATTTTCACTGTAAATCACACAGTATGTAACCATTTGTTGCAGTCTGTGTGATTTACCATGTTTATCGTGTCAGGTTCCTTTGAAAATGTGCTTCGTTCTTACCGTTATGATGCAAACTTTATGGGGATTGTGTGTATATTTGTAATTTGTGTGGCTATTTCTATTTAATGTGTGTACATATTCCATAGTTTAGAGCCTTCTGCTTGTTTTCTTTGG